TCCACCACCCCATCCCTCAGGCTGTCCACCCCGCCCCCCGCGACCTGTGGGTCTTCAAAGCGCCTTTGTCAGACCCTCTCCCCCACGTCTCTTTGTACGTGTGTCGATGGAGGGGCGGGTGTGAGTTGGAGAAAACCTCCCCCTTTCACCGCGGGCCCGCACCCCCAGCCCGCTCCGGGTCAGGCGGGTAGCCTGGAGGCGGGGGTGACCGGGGTGGGGGTGGGGCGAAGCGAGCCGCTGCCGTGGGAACCGGCTCCTCGGGGAGAAAACGCTGGCAGCCGGGCCAGGCTTCCGGAGCCAGAATCCCCCCTGCCCTTCCCACCCTCCGGCCTCTACCCAGGACGGAGCACCCCTGTCCGGAGAGCAGCGCCAGCCGCCAGAAGGTGCCAGGCTCCCGGGCGTTGGGAAGAGAGCCCTTCCCGCTGCTCTCTAGGAACAGGGACAGCGGGGCTTGGCGCTGGGGGCACCGGCTGGCACCGCGGATCCCGAGCATTTCTCCCAGCCTGATGCCAGCCTGACAGGAGGTGCCCTTCCTCTCCCCGAAAGCTGCCTCCTTCCACATCTTCAGGGGCAGATCCGGGAGGAAGGGGAGTCGTCCTGCCATCTTTGTGATTTCTGTTATCTGCGCTCAGGCTTGGGAGGGGAAGGGGAGAGGATATTATTAAAATCAGGGCGTGGTCTCTCTGGGAAGAATCCTTTCTTTGGGAGGGAGGTGAAGTTGTGGCTCCCCTACTCCCCAGGCCCAGCACACACTCAGGCGTAAAGTGGGCACTGCCAGGAACTTCCTCCACCCCCACCCCTGCTGTGAGCCACTGCCTTTTGTTGTCATGACAACTGGGAATTAGCGTTTTCTTCAGCAGCACAGACCCAGGAAGGCAAAGGGAGGAAGGGTGATGGGTTGCCCCGCCCCAATCCCTCCCACCCCTTTCCCTGAAAAATGGGGGAGCCAACGCCACCTTGGGGAGGTTCTGGAATGGGAACTAGGGCTGTAAACTCTACACCTGGTTCTGCCCAAAGCCCCCTGCTCTCCTAGTCCCAACTCTGGGCTAGGAAGGGGAGAAGGGGGGAAGGGGAACCCAGAAAGGCCTTAGGGAGGTATGACGTCATTTCTATCAGACAGACTGACAACATCTGTGGAGCATCTATCTACACTGGGCTAGGCCTAAGATCCAGAGGCAAAATAAAACAGATGTGGTTTTTGACTTCATGGAGCTTACTGTCTGGGGACACCCATCTTTCCTGCCTTTGACTCAAATTCTGTATTCTTACCCAACCCCTCTAAAAAAAAAAAAAAAAAAAGACATCCAGGACAGCCTCCTGACTTGTGTGGCTTCAGTTGGTTGGAACATGGTCCTATATACCTAAAGGTTGCAGGTTCAATTCCCAGTCAGGGCACATACTAGGTTTCGGGTTCAGGGCTCTCTCTCTCTCTCTCCCTCTCCCTCCCTCCCCCCTCCCTCTCCCCCTCTCTCTAAAATCAATAAACATGTCCTTGGGTGAGGATTTAAAAAAATAGAAAGGACAGATGGTGGGCATAAATGCTTAATTTTTTGTTGAGTCATAAAGCCTGGATTTTCATTGTAGTTTCTTTATTAGCTTTGTGACCTTGGGCAAATCAATTGATCTCTCTGATCCTCTGTCACCTCCTCCTGGAAGAACTGGGCACGAAATATCTGCTCTTCCTGCCTCCCAGGACTCTGGGACCATTCCGTTTACCTTGTTGGCTGATCGTGAGTGGGAGGTCCTCCTGGATTCCTTTCTCATCCTCCTTTTTCCCTCCTCTAGGAGAGGCATTTCGGAACCTTTGCCGACCTCACCATGCCGGTTGCCGCCACCAACTCTGAGACTGGTAAGAAAGGGAGAGGAAGTCAGTTAATATTAATGGTTCAGAGGGTGCCAGGCAGGGTGGGGAGCAGCTACCAGGCACTCCCACAGGTCCCTGTAGGAGCACCACTGTCCACCCAGCCACTCATCCATTCATTCAGGCAACTCTATGGCCCTCCCACACCTGCCCCAGGGTAGCGCTGGAGACAGAGCTTAACACACTTCTGTGGAGGGCAGGGGTATGAATGCTCCAAAGATAATGCACACTCACTATTGCTGGAGGACTATGACATGGGACCTGGCTGGTGAGAAAGTGACCCCCTAGGAGCTGGGCCTTGGAGGATGGCTGAGGTAGAGGGACAACAGCAGCCCAGCCTGGGGATGAGAAGTCCATGATGCGGTGCCCACCAGATAGGTGGAGTAGACCAGCTAGAGATGGGTGTGTGTGTGTGTGCAGGGGCATAGGAGGCTATGCAGGGAGGATGCCGGATCAGGAAGCCTCAACTTGGTTCTGTAGGAGCTTTTAGGGCAAGGGAATGGACCACCCAGACAAGCTAGGAAGCCTCAGGAGCAAGCTGCTGCTTAACCTCCCAGAGCCCGTTTTCTGTTCTGTAAAGAGGTTGATGGGAGTCTCCAAGGCTATGTCAGAGAATGAGAGTTACTGTTAGGAACAGTCACTCATCAATCTATGCTCCAAATTATTACCTCATTAATCTGTAACCTGAGTGAATCCCTCCCTTTTGGGACCTAGGTTTCCCCATCTGTAAGATGAAGTGATGGGACAAGGTCATTGGTCCTGGATCCCTTTGAGAACCTGATGACAGCCATGGCCTGCATTATAGACAAACTACAGGCCCAGTGCACGAATTCATGCATGGGTGGGGTCTGGCGGGCCACCCTAGTGGGGGCCCATCAGGCCAGGCCGGTGTGGGGGAGGGGCTGCAGGCAGTTGGTGGCCAGCTCCGCCCCCATCGGGGTGTTAGGGGCCGATGGGGCGGGCTGGTGGGGGAGGGGGAGGCAATAAGGGCCTGAATCAGGCTGGTTGGCTGCCACAGTGGGTTTCATAGCCGCCGGTTGTTCTGGTCGTTCTGGTTGTTCCGCCGTTCTGATTGCTGGGCTTTGTATATATAGATGCTTCTCTTCACAAAATCTGTATTCCACTCAGGGGTTCATGGCCCTTTAAGTGCATTTAGGGACCACCAGGCGAAGTTCCCTGTGCTAGAGGCTAAAGGCCCTACAACTCTAACCTGCTCTGAGTTGTCTCATGGCCTAGGTGCCTCCCTCCCAAGTAGCCCTTGCCGGAGGCCCTGCAGCTGCCTCTGCAAGATGTCCCAGGCTCCTAATGGCGTTAAATGACTGTTGCTCTCCTCTGAGAAACTGAGCCAGGAAAGTGAAGACTGTTGTGAGGGGCCAGAACCTAAACTGTGGCACCATTGTCCCCCAGGAAAGGCCTCTTCTTCCTGCCGTGGAGGGACTGCACCAATGTCCCCCAGCTTCTGCAGCCTTGGAAGGCTCAGTGCCTCTACTTCCTGTCCAGCCTGCTGGGCCCCCTGCCCCCGCCCCCCCTGCTCTGGCATGCTTGGGCCCCACTGTAAGCTGCTTATGGGTTAATTAAGCCCATCCCTGAGCCTGTGATGAAAGGCCTCTCAATCTGGGGCTGCCCAGTAAACCCATTAATAGTGCCTGGCAGGGGTGTAGAGGGAGGAAAAGGTCCACCAATTTAGCTCCCTTGCTGCAGGCCAGGTGATGGGGGCATTGGTGGGGTGAGTGGGGGACAGGGCAGGGAGGGGAGCCCAGGGGTGTGGCTATGGGGCTTATTTCCTCTGAGGACTCCTGGGGCCTCTGCTTCCCTGGGCTGCTCCTGCCTTCCCAAACCTAAAGGACAGCAGTCAGCTGCTGAACCTCTCGAAGCCTATGTTTCATCTTCTGTGAAGAGGTGACGCAGGACTTAAAGGCTATGAGGCTCTTAGCCAGCCGTGGGCAAACTACGGCCTGCGGGCCGGATCTGGCCCGTTTGAAATGAATAAAACTAAAAAAAAAAAAAGACCGTACCCTTTTATGTAATGATGTTTACTTTGAATTTATATTAGTTCACACAAACACTCCATCCATGCTTTTGTTCCGGCCTTCCGGTCCAGTTTAAGAACCCATTGTGGCCCTCGAGTCAAAAAGTTTGCCCACCCCTGCTCTTAGCCCTTCCTGCAGGCAGCCCTCCGTGCCCAGGAGTAGCTTCTGCCCTAAAAAATCTAACGGTGGGTTCTGCCCCTCCTCACTTGGTGGCCAGTACACTTCCTACAGGCCTGAGAGACAACTGTGCCCCAGCCTCTGAGGTCAGGTTTACCCTCCCACTTGCCTCTTCCTTTCGGTAGAGATCCCAGCCTTGGGCTCTGCAGAGAGTGAAGCTGGCAAGGTCCTTCTCCCACCCTTCCCCTTGGTCAAGATGGTCATTGTCATTGTGGAGGGTGCATGGGATGGGTGTATTCCTCTCGCAGAGGGACCCCCAGCTCTACTTCCAGGAAGGTGGAGTGGCCCTTTCCCTGAGGGTTAGGGGTGGGCTGAGAGATATGTAGGTGATAGCATGGGCTGAGAGTGGAGAGAACTTGCCCTGGAGTCTCCAGACTGGCAGCCGGGTCCTTTCTTTTCCCTTTAGCTGATTCCTTTCTTTCTTTGACTCCAGAGGGGATGTAGGCTGAATTCAGATGGAGCTGTCCCTTTAAATCTTTCTTGCATCCCAGGGTTAACGTCCTGGTGTGTAAGCCCTCCTGTTGCCATGGCAACCAGGGGTGCAATGCAAGCTGGTGCCACTCCTCGGGGGAATGGAGAGCTGGTGGCAGGAGCAGCACCTGGTGGTGGCCTCATGGGTACAGGGCTTGAGAGTAATGGAGGCGCTGGGCTGGGGTAAATGCCAACTCTCTCCCTTCTGCCGCCCTTGTCCCTGCTGCAAGAATGCTCCTTCACTTCTCCCTTCCACAATTCCAAGATGCCTGACTTGCCCACCAGCTAGTGACCTCTTATCCAAGGGGAGGACTTAATGGGAGATGGGGGACCAGGAGAAGCTACAGCTGAGATGTGGGGTCAGAAGGGCTTAAGGTGCCCTTCCCAGGCACAGTGGTGCCACCTCTCATTCCCCTCCTTTTTCTCCCTGTCACCCCCTCACCCCCAATGGCTGAGTTAGGCGGAGGACTGAGTCGCTCTGGGGGTGGGGGGTGGGGGTGGGAGAGGCGCTTCCTTTGATTCGAAGGGGTTATTGTAAAGGAAACTGGGCCTGGAGAGGGGACACAGACTAGAGGTCGGAGGGCACGGGGAGGAGGTGGCGTGGGTGTGTATTAGAGGACAGACCTTCAGAAGCGAAGGCGGGAACAAGGTGGGGCCAAGTCCCCACCCGCCCTGGGTGTCCTGCAGCTGGGCCGTGAGGGGAGGGTCTCTGAGCGCCGCCCCAGATCTGAAGGGGCAGCACCCCGGCCCCTCTCTCAGCCCCCTCCTCCCCCTCCCACTGGCTGGTACTGAACCGAGGGGGCTCCAGCCAGCGGCCGGACTGGGACTCTCTTTCCCACCGCCCCTGCCTTTGACCAATCAGCAAGGCGGTCAGGGCGGCTGAACCTTTCTATTGGCTGATTCTGCAGAAGGCGCTCCCGGAGTCCCGCCTCCTCCAGCGCTGCCAGCCCCTGGCGGGGAAGGCGGCCCGAAGCCGAAGTGCAGGCTACTCCTGGAGTCCGGGGCCGGGTGGGGGGCCGCTATGGCGGGCAGCCCAGGCAGCGGGGCCTCCTTGGGGGTTACATCCCGGGGATCCTCTGAGGAAGCCGACCTCCGAAGGAAAGGTAGGAAGGAGAGTCCGGAGGCCGCGGGGAAAGCTGGCCCCACAGGGTCTGTAGGCACCTGGAGAGGGTGTCCCAGGGACGGGCTTCCGGGAGCCTGAGGGTCCGGCGGCACAGCCCCTCCGGAGAGCGGGCCTAGGCAGAGGGCGCCAGCTCCCCTGGCTCCGTCCTTCCTCGGGGTGGCAGGCTGGGGAGTCTGTGTGTGAGGACAGCTAAGGCGGTGGACCCCGAGGTACCCTGCAGAGTGGGAAGGGTCCATGGCCTCTTTCTGAGCCCCCGACGGCTCTTACAGGTCTCTGACCAATGGCAAGCCCAGGCCTGGGCAGGAGGGGTCTAAAGGACAGACTAGGATGTTGTTTCTGGAAAAGGTGGGGTGAAGGAGGGGGAGAGTGTGGGAGTCCAGGAGCCCCTGAACCATGTCTGCCAGCTCCAGTTTCAGTGCCTCCTCCTCCCCATCCCCATCCCCATCCCCATTCCCATTCCTTCCTGGAGGAGGAGGCATTGGCAAGAGCAGTAAGGGGTGCCAGGGGCTGTCTCCACCCTTCCTCCTCCATGGCTTGGGGGCTGTTATGCAGATGTAGGTGTGGGTGGCAGGGTGGCAGGTTAATGATACCCCCTGCCCATCTCTGGCCCCCAGCTGGGCACACTCTGCTTCTCCTTTCCTCCCCCAGAACCTGCCACCGCTGGCAGCTGCCTCCTCTCCTGGGGTTGATGGCAACACCTACCTCAGGTCTCAGCGACGCTGCTGGGGCCTCATGTCCTTGGTTATGTCCTTTCCGGCTGAGGGTTTGCGGATCCCTGGGATGACTTAGTCTGATTTCTGCCCTTGGGCGCCCACAGCCATTCCAGGCCTGTTTTCCCAGCTCCTGCCAATGTCCTGGGCCTCAGCTTTGGCTTCCGAGGATCTATATTAATTTCTGGATGATTATAGATCATTATCAAAGTAGAGGGGCTTATAGACACCTTCTAATCCAACCCACCCGTTATATAGGAGGGAAAGATGGAGACCAGTGAGAAACAGTGAGTTATGCAAAATCACACTGAATTGGCGGCACGGCTTCTACTAGCTAACGTGTGGGCCCTGGCTTCCTGCATGGCTGCCTGTTGTCAGGAACATGGCCCAGCACTGTCTCTCTCTCTCATTCCTGAGCCCTTCGGGGGCAGGTGGCTGAGTCCGGGGGCTTCAGCCCATTCAGAGTGGGAGTGCGGAGCCTGTGATTCCCTGGTGCAGGGCAGAACCTGGAACCTGACGCCTGCTGCCCTCTCCCCTCTCCTCCCACATCAGAGTCTACTTCCTCCTGCCTGGGGCCTCCCACCTGCCCAGGCTGGCATTACCCAGGGCCTGCAGAACAGGCCACAGCCACTCCCCGCGAGGGCCCTACCCCAGGCATTCCCGTGCCTGGCAGGGAAGGAGGTGCTGCTGGGGCGGGGCTGCCTTCTGTGGGGCGTGAGGTGGGGCGGTTGTGGTGTGTTTTGGTCTTGGGTGTCTAGCTGGCACCTGTGTGTCTCACCGCCTACCCCTTCCCCGCAGCCATGCAGCAAGTCCTGGACAACTTGGGATCCCTCCCCAATGCCACGGGGGCTGCAGAACTGGACCTGATCTTCCTGCGAGGCATTATGGAAAGTCCCATAGTAAGATCCCTGGCCAAGGTATAGTGCTCCAGGAGGCAGGTACCAGGGCACTGTGTCTGGGGGGTACAGCGGGGGATGGGGTGTTGGACATACAGGGCCCTGGGATGGGGCATGTGGCACAAGAGACCCCTGGAGGGGGGTATACATGACCATCCATGCCCAGATGGTAGCTGAGGGACTGTCGGTCTGGGAGCTGTGCCAGGCCTGGCTGCTGAGTGTGGGGCATGCCCATGTGGAAGCTTGTGTGGTGTCTGCCAGCTTGTGGACTGTGATGGGAGGGGGAGAGCATGCCTGTGTGGGATCTCCAGAGTTCATCCTGCCTATCCCTCTGTCACTGGGCATTTTGTGCAGACATTTTTACAAGGTCACCTGCCATGCATCAGGCAGGTAAAAGACTCACTAAACGGGGGAGTTATTAAACAGTTGGTAACAGCAGTGACAGGGGCAGATGCAGTCGGCATTTGGGAGCATAACGGACAGTTGCCTAACTCAGGGGAGGCCTCCTGGAGGAAGGGCCACTTGAGCTGAGTCTTGATGAATGAGGAGGGAGGGAAGGGCATCCTGGGCCATGGGAAGAGCTGAAGCTGAAGCAAAGGTGAGAAGAGTCGGGAGTATACAGGGGACTGGCGTGAGGCTGGAGTTTCAGGTGTGAGACGGGGTGGGAGCTTTGGAGATGCTGGCAGGTGGTGGAGGGCACTGGGGGCTGGGCCCGGGTGCTTGGACATTGTCCTGTGATGTCCTGTGCGTAACATGGATGGAGTCTTCCATGGGTTTTAAGCAGGGGGGTGATGATGGAATATGGCCATTTTAGCAGCATCCCTCTGGCAGCCTCATGGAGTTGGAGAGACTGAGGCGGGGGATGGCTCTGAACCAGACCTCTGGTAACAACAGGGCTTGAGGGAGGGGAGGGTGAGAGAAATATTTAGGAAGAAAATTGGCAGTACTTGGTGTTGGGGATGGAAGGTGAGGCGGGGAGGGTAGCAAGGCACCCTGGATTCTGCAGAGGGAAAGTGTGGGGCTGGGGCTGCCTTCAGCTGAGAGAAGCAGCGTGGACGAGGGGAGGGGCAGGTGAAGAAGGAGCCCCTCTCCCGAGGAGGAGGAGGGAAGGTGAGAAAGGTGCCAATGCTGTGCTGGAGGCAAACTGGGCGTTGCATGGAATCATGTGTAATTGCTCAGAGTTTCCAGCGGAGGTGGGGCAGTCGTCTGCTGGGAATTCGGGATCAGGGGTTGAGCAGGAAAATAGGAGGAATTTGGAAGTAAAGGTTCAACTAATCACTAAAGGGGAGGAGAGCAGGAACTCAGCAAAGCCAGGGAGCAGGATTGACTTGAGGTTGATGATGTCATAATCCTGAAATGCATAGCTTGCCTATATATGTATTTAGATGTAAATGCCCCTTTATATGTGTTTTTATTTTATTTTTTAATGTTTTCGTGTGCTTTTTTTCTCAATCCTCACTCAAGGATATTTTTTCCATTGCTTTTTAAAGAGAGTGGAAGGCAGGGAGAGAAGGGTAGGGTAAGAGAGAGGGTGAGAGAGAGAGAGAGACATCAATGTGAGAGACCCATCAAACGGTTGCCTCCTGCATGTGCCCTGACCGGTGTATTTATTCATTGGTTTCCACACTGAAGGGCAGGGACGTTGTGGCCTATTTGCCGCTATTAAGGACAGTGCTGCCTGAGGATGTGAACGTCCTCACATCCCTCTGTTTCTGCACGTGTGACAGTTCCTCTAGGGCGGACCCTTGGCAATGGAATTGCTGATATGCACATTGTGAACCTTCCAAAGCTGATTTCAGAATTGGATTTATTAGACCACATCAGCTCTGGGTCACGTTAGCTATGGCTTTGACAGTGAGACTGCCAATGACATAAGGAGAGTCCCGCAGGATGACAGAAGCTCAGGGTTAGAAGGTCCTCTAGCCAGTCCCCTCCAAAGCATGACCCCCCTCAGCCGCCTTCTTCTCTGGGGCTTTGTCTAACCTATTTGATGGGCTCTCCAATGATGGGCTTGCTGGCTGGCTGGCCCTGTCATCCACTTAATCATTCAGTCACTCAGTCATCCATCATCTATTCAACAAATACTATTGTGTGCTCACCATGTACCAGGGCTATGGCAATAAACTGTCAGCTTGTTCTTCTCCTGATGGAGCCCAAGTCTGCACAGTGCAGCCTGACAGAGAGGTTGCCAACGTACTGTGTCAGGCTGTAAATAAACGCCCTTCTCCTGCCGGAGCTCAGGAAAATCCTTCCCATCTCCTCCGGTGTGACCCTTTGCAATGTAACTTTTCCCACTTCTCGCATCAAAAGGCTGTCTCTACTCTCCAATCTGGGCTTGACCATGTGACTTGCTTTGGATAACGGGACCTACTTCTGACTCCTTGTTACCGATTTTAACTATTATGTATGTAGCAGTACATTTCTAATCTAATAGACAGAGTGCTTTTATCAAAGATCCAGGTGTAAAGGCTTGGTTCTCCCGGCAAAGTGGCCCGGAAACCCATAGGAATGGAGTCGAGTGGAACTCCGTGTGGTAGCTATTAACCTTTTTATCTTACCCTTATGGAGCTGGGCTTGACTCCTCTCTCGGGGATGCACAGTGTGGGAGAGGCCAGGCTGGTTAGATCTGGGACCAGGGAGGGGCAGGGCCTGAGGGACAAACCCAGAGAAGTGAAGTCTCTGGAGGGAAGTCAAATCTGGCAGGAAGGTGATAAATCTAGGGGTCTGGCTGCAGACAGCAGGTGGCTGGCAGGTGGTTGGCATCTGGGAGGCCTGACATGGGTCCAGCAGCAGGTGTTTCAACGGCGGCCAAGGCTAAGGTGAAGAGTCCAATGTAGGCGGCACTCAGAAGTCCAGGCAAACGGTTACCAGGAGGGGCATCTGCCAGCTGGGAGGCCTCCACATGAGGCGCAGGAAAAAGAGCACAGAGTTTGGAGTCGGAAGATTCACCGGTCGGCTGTGGCTTTAGGACACCTGACAGCCGCTCTGAGCTTCAGTTACTTGTCCTGAGAAGTGAGGATAATGATGCTGATCTGTCAGAGGCATGGTGGGGTTCGGTGGGGGAGGTCATGGATGTGGAGGCGCTTTTTAAATCATAAAGAGTTGTTACAATGTAGTCTGAGCCGGAGTTCACAGGGAGGACCCTACTCCTGTGGTCAGGCCAGGGTGAGAGAGATGGCAAAGCAAGACACGGCCCTAGAAGAATGAGGGTCCACGGGGGTCACTGACCAGCAGACATGACAAGCAGAGGCTACAGTGGTGAGGAGCCTAGTGTATCAGTTAACCTCTGCTGTGTAACAAACAACCCCAACGCATAGTGCCCTAAAACGATCGTGATTTATTTCTCATGGTTTTGTGGGTCAGTGGGGTGGCGTTTCTGGTATGAGCTTGCTGAGTTGGGGCTGGGTGCTCTAGGATGGCCTCGCATGCCTGCTGAGTCAGCTGGGAGGCTGTGGCATCGAGGATGGCAAGGTCTCATCCTCTGGGAGGTGGCCCCGGGTTCTTCATATGGTCGTCTCGGCCGCACACGTGGACAAGCTCCAAATCCCAAGTACTTTCCAAGCTTCTGCTTGTATCACACTTGCTAATGTCCCATTGGCCAAAGCCAATCACATGGTCACATCAGATTGAAGAGCGAGTGATGTTTCCTTCTGGCACACCAGTCTCTGGGACTTCTTTCAGTTTTTGAACTACTTAATTATGACCCTAGGCGTCTTCTGCCAACATCAGAGAGGCTGGAGTGGGACCGAGGATGGAATAACTTTCAAAGAACTGGCAGTGTGGCATTCGCAGTTGGCTCATGGTTCTGGAGCAGGAGCTGGCATATCTGGGTTCAAGTACAGGCTCTATCATTAGCACTCGGTGGCAGTGCTTCGAAAGTCTCTCATCCAGTGTCAGTGGGAGGGCAGAGCAGCCCAAGCCCCATAAAGGGGAGTTTGTCAGAACCACTGCTCCTTAGCGCTGCCTCGGAGGCGGGAGAGGCTCCCACCACCACTGCTGCACTTGCCAGCTGTGAGCTCAGCTTCTGGCTGAACGGCGCTCCCCCTGTGGGAGTGCACTGACCACCAGGGGGCAGCTCCTGTGTTGAGCGTCTGCCCCCTGGTGGTCAGTGTGCATCATAGCAACCGGTCATTCCATTTGGTCGATTTGCATATTAGCCTTTTATTATGTAGCAGTGGTCATCAACCTTTTGGACCTCACAGACCACCAGTGGTCCGTGGACCACCGGTTGGTGACCACTGTTATATAGAATAGTAAAACATTGGAACAACTTAAATACCCGGGGAGACTGATTGAATAAATTATGATACTCCAAACATACAATAAGTCAAGTGCAGTAATTAAAATAATAATAATAATAATAATAATAATAATAAAGGAAAATCTCCATATTGTAGCATAGAGTGATTTCCAGGGCATATTAACTTAAAAACCAAAACACAAACCAAACCTATTAAACAAAACAAAAAACCCAAGAGATCAAAGAGTGTATATAGTGTTCTCCCTTTTATGTAAGGGTCTAAAATCAGGATTTGGGGAGGGGAGATGCCTGAGGGAAAAGGGGGGGCACTGTTTGGTACCAGGGCTCTTGGGGAAGCATCAGGTCTCACCTGTTCCACCTTCACCCCCAGGCCCATGAGAGGCTGGAGGAGACGAAGCTGGAGGCTGTTCGGGACAACAACCTGGAGCTGGTGCAGGAGATCCTGCGGGACCTGGCGCAGCTGGCCGAACAGAGCAGCACCGCCGCTGAGCTGGCCCGCATCCTCCAGGAGCCTCACTTTCAGGTTTCCTCCAGGCTGGGGTGCAACTGGGGCAGGCCATTGGGGGAGGGGCCGGCAGGAAGTTGGAGGTGGAATGGAAAGGGACTGCAGGGCACTGGCCCATGGCCCCTTCTCTTCCCACCACCTCCCCAGTCCCTCCTGGAGACGCATGACTCTGTTGCCTCAAAGACCTATGAGACACCACCCCCCAGTCCCGGCCTGGATCCCACGTTCAGCAACCAGCCGGTGCCTCCTGACGCTGTGCGCATGGTGGGCATCCGCAAGACCGCTGGAGAACATCTGGTGAGGGTGCTGGGCAGGGCCAGATGTGCGGTCTGGATGGGGGGGATTGAGAGTAACTAGCAGGGGTCAAAACGAAGGTAGGATCAGCTCTGCCCAGGGATCTGCCCATGCAGACCCAGGGGCTCGCAGACTGTGCATATGAGCTGCATACATACACGTGCCAGAACCCTCTTCGTTCTGCCCACTTTCCCGCCTTTAGTGCTCCCGTAAGTGAAGAATTTGGGCAGAGGATGGAAGAGGGGAAGTCTGTGAGGGCTATGTGGGGGGGTGGGGGTGGGAACAGGGGGTCCTGGAGATCTAAACGGGGGTACTGGAATCTTCCAATCTCCATTAGAGGGTCCTGACGTGGAGCTGTTGGGGCTCATCTTACCCTCTCTCCATCCCCCAGGGCGTGACATTCCGCGTGGAGGGTGGCGAGCTGGTGATCGCACGCATCCTGCACGGGGGGATGGTGGCTCAGCAAGGCCTGTTGCATGTGGGTGACATCATCAAGGAGGTGAATGGGCAGCCCGTGGGCAGCGACCCCCGTGCGCTGCAGGAGCTCCTGCGCAGCGCCAGCGGCAGCGTCATCCTCAAGATCCTGCCCAGCTACCAGGAGCCCCATCTGCCCCGCCAGGTGAATCCCTCCACCCAGGTCCCCATCCAGCACAAGGCCTGAGGGGTAGCTGAACCTCCCTATCAGGGTCACGGGCCTGGGGTGGGAGCAACTCTTCAACCAGCGTTGAAAAGCAAGCTAGCGGGCAGGATCTGCGGCGGAGGCAAGTGGCCAGGACACCTACAGGCATCTGCGTACTCGCATTTGCCCTCGTCTTGGGCACCCGTGTGCATGTGCAAGGGATGTGTGCGCATTCAAGGCCTGTGGTACCCAAGTGTACCAGCGAGTGCCTGGTGTGCGGCTGCATGCTTGCCTGTGTGTCTGTGTGGGTGCGCAGTCAGATTGCCAGGTGTCCTGTACAGCTGCCTCTCTGTGGGTGGATTGTGGAGGTCTGGCTGCTTTGCCCACTTCTCCTATTGGCTCTCTAGCGTCTGCCAGAGCCGCTACCTCCAAGGGGAGGAGGTGAGTGGATGGAGGGATCCTGCATTAGGTGTTAGGGTCTCTATCCTTTACCCGGTGATCCTGCCTCCTCGGTAGGTGGGGCCAGGGCCCCAGGCCGGAGCACATCTCCCATCCTTCTGATTGAGTCCTTTTGTTCTAGATGCAAAGGGAGGCTGGTACCAGGGAGGCGGGCCAGGCAGGCCTGGGGGCATCGTGCCTTTATTAAAGGGGCAGTACCAGGGCCTCTCTCATCTTTGTGAGGGAAGGGGGGAAGAGGGTGGACTGTATGACACCCCCTCTCTCCACGAGGGGTTGGGGATGGTGGGGTGGGGGATGGGAGAGGGCCCATCCCCTCCAGCCTCCCCTGCTTCTTCCCTTGACCCTTCCCTGATCCCTGGTCCAGGTATTTGTGAAATGCCACTTTGACTATGACCCAGCCCGAGACAGCCTCATCCCCTGCAAGGAAGCAGGCCTGCGCTTCAACGCTGGGGACTTACTCCAGATTGTAAACCAGGATGATGCTAACTGGTGGCAGGTGAGCCTTGGGTGCCCCTGTCGTCTCTCTGGGTATGGTGTGGGGTAGGTCAGGGCTCGGGAGGTGTCCCCTCACTCAGAGCTTTGCCCATGTCTATTCTAGGCATGCCACGTGGAAGGAGGCAGTGCTGGGCTCATCCCCAGCCAGCTGCTGGAGGAGAAGCGCAAAGCCTTCGTTAAACGGGATCTGGAGCTGACGCCCAACTCAGGTATCGCCCCTAGTTCTACTCTGGGATCTGACTGCATCCCAGCCTGGCCTCACTCACCCATCTCTCTATGGCCAGGGACCCTATGCGGCAGCCTTTCGGGAAAAAAAAAGAAACGAATGATGTATTTGACCACCAAGAATGCAGGTGGGTGTTGTAGGCGCCCTCCCCCTGTCCTCCTCTAACATGGCACATCCCCTCTCTGCCCCCACCACTGACTTGTGCATATGCTCCCCTGGTTCTGATGCTGCCAGGCTTGTCCCTCGACCCTGCCCAGCTTCTTCCTGCTGCCCCTGGCCCCTGAGAACCCAGCCCCACCCTTTTCACCCGATGAACAGCCTGCTGAGCAGCGCCATCTCCCTGTGTCCAGAGTTTGACCGCCATGAGCTGCTCATCTACGAGGAGGTGGCCCGCATGCCTCCTTTCCGCCGGAAAACCCTGGTGCTCATCGGGGCTCAGGGTGTGGGTCGGCGCAGCCTGAAGAACAAGCTCATCATGTGGGATCCAGACCGCTATGGCACCACGGTGCCCTGTGAGTGGGAGCTGGGCCTGCTGGGTGGGGGTCAGGAAGTGGGAATGCCTTAGAGGCCAGCACTGGGTCCACTGAATGGGCATATGCATGGGCACCACGTTAAGTAACACTTTGGGTGTGAGGTGTGGGGCGAGCGCCCTCTATGGGCTGGTGGGGGAACTGCAGGCTGGGATGTTTTGGGGAGCTGTCCCTTGAGCCTGTGGCCAGATGGGCTGAACTGGCCTTGCCTTTCCTTTTCTCACGTTTCACCTGCTAAAAGCCCAGCTGGGCACTGATGTGAAGCAGGGATCTGAGCTGTGTGTGGCCTTACGAAAGACAGGGCTTCTTGGTGACAGAACCCGTTGGGGTGAAAGCTCCTGCTTCCTGGGGGCAAGAACCAGGTCAGCTTGGCCTCGCTTTGTGGCTCCACATTGCCCTCTCTGGGCCTCAGCTCCCCCTCTTGAGCACTGGGCTGGTTTCTCTCCATATGGATGTCTAAAGCTCTGTGTGTGCCCTGGTGAGGGTGAGGGCACGGTGTGTGGGAAGGCAGCAGAACTGAGCATGTGAGGGCAGCATGCCCCCCTAGGGCTGTGGGATGCAAGTAGAACATGTTTATGTGTGTCTGCGGCAGTGCCCATTCGGCCCCTCCTTCCTTGTAGACACATCCAGGCGGCCCAAAGACTCAGAGCGGGAAGGCCAGGGTTACAGCTTTGTGTCCCGAGCGGAGATGGAGGCTGACATCCGTGCTGGGCGCTACCTGGAACATGGCGAATACGAGGGCAACCTGTATGGCACACGTATCGACTCCATCCGGGGTGTGGTCGCTGCCGGCAAGGTGTGCGTGCTGGATGTCAACCCCCAGGTACTGCTGGCCTGCTTTTCCTCATCTGCCCAGTATCCCCTCTGGGTACTCTGATGGCCCCAGCGCTCCTCCCTATATTTCCAGGCACTTATCTCCCAAGCGCCCCCTCAACTACTGCTAGGGACCAAGCCCCCTTAGACCCTCCTTCTCAGCCTCCAAGATCCCCAACTCCTCTAGTCTCCTCCAGTTACTCCATCCCCAGCTACTTGCCAGCTGTTCCTCTAGCACCCATCTCCAGGACTGATGTCTCATTCATTCCCAGGTACCCGTCTTCACCCCCATCACCCCACATGTACCCTTCTCTCCTGCAGGCGGTGAAGGTGCTGAGAACAGCGGAGTTTGTCCCTTACGTGGTGTTCATTGAGGCCCCTGACTATGAGACCCTTCGGGCCATGAACCGGGCTGCACTGGAAAGTGGGGTGTCTACTAAGCAGCTCACGGTGAGGGGCTCTGAGGTGCGGTGGGAGGGGCAGATCAGCGTTGGTGAGGAGAAGGGGTGTTGAGGGAGGGGAGAGGCACCCACCCCAGGTATCAGTGAAGGAGGACTCGAAGTTCCCACCTATAGGTGTGGAAACGAAAGCCTGAGCAAGGAGGTGAAGTGCCTAGATTCCCAAAGACTCAGGGGCACAGCCAGCCAGCGGGGCAGGAGCTTCTGCCAGGCTCACTGCTCGATCCACTCTGTGGGGACAGTGCTGACCACAGGGAGCCCAGAGGGCCAGTGGGGTATCTGTGGGCAGAGGCAGGGGGACTCTGGGCTATTTACAACTTGGGAAAGGCTGAAGGGAGGGAGGAAAACAGAGGCTGGAGGGCTGGCTACAGGGATGAGTTAGCCTTAGGGAGGCGCAGGACTCCAGGGCACCCCGGTCTTGGAGCAGCCTGTTCCTAAAGGTATAGGGTTTGCAGAGGTCCGTGCACAGGTGTCCCTCTGCTGGCCATACCTGGTACTGCCGCTCTCAGGGCCCTCATGGCAGCATTGCTCAGGCCTTGCAGAGGCTGTTGGGGTGGGGCTGCCCTCTGCTGCATGCCACCCAGGCCACAAACACCGAGGACTGGTGCTGCTGGGACATGCTGGGCCAGCCCAGCGCTCCCATCTCCGCTTATTTAAGTCAGCGTTCAAGTCCCTTCTCACCCCTGCCTGACCAGCTTGGACTGGGTCTGGGGTGGGGGTTGCCTCGGGCGGGCACTGATGGGTTGCACCAGTACCAGGTCTGACATGTGCCTCTCGGGCTGCCTGATCAGACTGGAGGGAGCACTGGCTTTGGAGTCAGGCAGCACTGGCTGACGGTGTGAACTCGTTGTACCTCCGTTGTCTCTGTTGTAAATGGGGAATAATGAGTCCTGCCTTGCAGAGCCGTAGTGAAAATTTGGCGAGTTGTTAAGATGTTAGTGCCAAGTTTGGCTCTTACTAAGGGCTATTTCCTTCCTTCCTTTTACCTGTGTGTCTGTCCATGGTTGCAGGAGAGCGCCTTGGGACATGTAGGGAGGGGCTCCAAGCCAGGGAGTCTGTGCCCACCATGGTTAGCCTTTGGGGAGGGGTCTGGGTGGGGCAGGCTGTAGACCCCTCTGATGATGGGGGTGAGTGGGGGACACTGACCGGCGGGAGGTCCCCTTGTGTTGGCAGGAGGCGGACCTGAGACGGACAGTGGAGGAGAGCAGCCGCATCCAGAGGGGCTACGGGCACTACTTTGACCTCAGCCTGGTCAACTGCAACCTGGAGAGGACCTTCCGCGAGCTCCAGGCCGCCATGGAGAAGCTGCGGACGGAGCCCCAGTGGGTGCCTGTCAGCTGGGTGTACTGAGCCTACTCGACTGGACCTTGTCCCCTCTGGGTTGTGACCCAGAGACCTGAATCCATCCCTTTCCCAACCATGACCCTCAACCACGGTCCCGAGCTCCAGTCCCTGGGGCTCTGGCTCCCTGGGAAGCAGCTCCTCGCAGGCCCCAAGTCTGGCTTCGGTGCAGAGGCATGCACTGCCAGGGAGGTGGGTGTTCGTGGGGTACCTCTGTGCCCAGGTGCTGCCCCCTCCTGATGCCCATTGGCCACCAGATGTTCCTCTCTGAGGGCCACGCTGTGCCCAGGAGTGTGTCAGAGTCACCGCCCAAAGGCTCAGACCAGAGAAGAGAAGATGCTTTGGGACCACGTGGTCAGTAGGTACACTGCCCCTGCCACCTCTCTCCAGTCACCTTCTCTCCTCTGGACTGGCCACCCCACCCTATTCCCAAGCTCCTCCCACCTCTCACCCCTCTGTCCTAGGAGCAGGCCTTAGGCTTTTTCTATGTGGCCAGGGGAGTGCAAGGCCCCCTGGCAGCCGGGCAGGCCTGGCAGTGGGGCCAACCTGGTGCCATCCGGAAGGCTGCAGGAGCCAAAGCATGAGCCAGTTGTCACAGCCGGGAGCAGTGCAGCTCTCTGCTCCCGGGAACGAGGCAGAGTCCCGCGAATGGACCCTGCCCGATATTTCCCTCATCCACAGCTTTTCACTGCCGAAGTCTCTCCAGGGACTTCTCCAATGTGCCCGCAGGTCAGCTCTGCGCCCCGCAGGGCCAGGCCGACAGGGGGCAGCAGGCACAGCCCAGGCCGGGGGGGTTGGAGGCTGAGCCCTGACCCCAGGAGCCTGCTACTACCGACCGAAGAGCTCCAAGCTCTCCATGGCCCATGGGGAGGACACGCCTGGGCTCCCTGTTCACGACCATTGTCCATGTGGTCTTTGCTCTGGCCAGGTCCACGTGGTCCACTAGTGTCAGGATTGATGGGGGTGAGGAGGCGGGGGGCTCAGGAAGGATGCGGAGGGGAGCTGTGAGCACTGTGCTCTGATAGGCTCCTCATTGCCCAGCGCCAGGGGGTGCCATCCATGCTGTTTCTGTGCAGTTTACGTCCACATGCGACCCACCTGGTCTGGGTTCTGCCACTGGCTTGTGTGTGTCAGGCTTGGTTTTTGGAGAAGAGACACTTTGGAGGTCACTCTTTGGGTCCCCTTTTCAGGGTTTCCCAGCAGCTCCCCTGTCTTATGAGACACTTATCCCAGATTCTAGAGCCTTGACCCACCCAGATGTCTTCCTCCAGCTCTTATTGTCCCCTGACCCTAAATGCCACTCTCCTGTCCTTGGTGAGGGCAATTGTGTAAAACAGGAGACTCCCTTTTTTTTTTTTAGAGAAAGGAAGGGAGAGAGAGAGAGAGAGAAAGAGAGAGAAACATCGATTGGTCGTCTTCCCATGTGCCCCAAATGGTGAGTGAACCTGGAACCTGGATGTGTGCCCTGGCCGGGAATCGAACCCACAACCTTTTGGTGTACGGGTCGATGCTGCAGCCACCTGAGTCATACTAGCCAGGGTGAGAATCCCTTTTGAGAAAAGAATGCCATCCTCAACTTCCCCAGGCATCTCATCCCTCATCCTTCTCTGTGATCCTTCCTGGGGTGAGCCTGTCCTTGCTGGGGGCCCCCCAGCCCCTGTGCTCCCCCGTCCTTCTGAATGTCAGTCAGTGTTCGCTGCAGCGTCAGCCCAAGCTGGCCCCTGAACCACTGTGTGCCCATTTCCTAGGGAAGGGGAGGGAGAAGAAACAGAATATTTATTACAAAGTTAGAAATATATTTATTGTATTAGGGATCTCATTGCATTTGCATAAGATATGCAAATGAGATGTCAGGGTCAAGCCTGCTCCCATCTCATTTGCATAGCTCTGCATCCACTATGCAGTCATCTTTATACTCCTCTTTTCCCTTTAGTCAGCCTTCTTTTTATCCTTCATTCAACTCTTACATCACCCTCACCCTCACCCAAGGGGACTGGGAGTGGGAGGAAAATGGGGTGTCCTTTGCCAGGTCCCACCTCACCTGGTTAACCTCTGACCAAAAGATGGGGTCGGGGGGAGCTGGGCACATTGCTGGGGAGTTGGCAGGTGGCCCTTTAGGGTGAATCTCCAGTGTTGATGCTCTCTGGCACCTTCACCTCTAGTGATCCCCCGGGGGCAGGGCTGGGCCCCTCTCCTGTCTCCATCCCTCTCTGAACAGCGTGCTACCTCCCCTGCATAAGCCCCACTCCATGGAACAGGTGTGTGCACCCACGAGTTAGCTCTGACTCTGTCCTCCCTCCTCCCACTGTGGACGCTTGTATTTGGGGAACCTCAGGATAATGAGGCCCCTGCCCCCCACAGTCTGAACCCATTTCCCCTTCCCCCTCCCCTCCCTCAGCCATCCAGTTCCTGAGCTTTCTGTCTGACTGGTTTTCTTTCTTTTCCGTTGATTAAATGTGAAAGCAAAGGCATCTGGGCTGTTTGTCTTTTTAAAATTTTTTAATTATTTAATTTTTTTATTGATTTCAGAGAGGGAGAGAGAGATAGAAACATCAATGATGAGAGAGAATCATGGATTGGCTGCCTCCTGCATACTCCACACTGGGGATCGAGCCTGCAACCCGGGCATGTGCCCTTGGCCAGGATAGAACCTGAGACCCTTCAGTCCACAGGCCAATACTCTACCCACTGAGCCAAACCGGCTAGGGCAGCGGTTTTCAACCTGTGGGTCGTGACCCCTTTGGGGGTCGAACGACCCTTTCACAGGGGTCGCCTAAGACCATCGGAAAACACATCTATAATTACATATTGTTTTTGTGATTAATCACTATGCTCTAATTATGTTCAATTTGTAACAATGAAATTGGGGGTCACCACAACATGAGGAGCTGTATTAAAGGGTCGTGGCATTAGGAAGGTTGAGAACCACTGGGCTAGGGCATGGGCAGTTTGTGCTGTTTGTCTTCGGCTGGGGTCGGGAATGGCTTCTGGAGAGGGCGAAAGCAGGGAACACGGCACAGATGGTTCTGGAATGGATTCTGAGTGACATGTCTTGTGTTCTGTAATGTCTTCTGAAATTTCCAGTCCCGCCATTCCACACTCCACCTCCCCCATGATGCTCTTTCTACCACCTCCACCTCCCCGAAGATGCTCTTTCTAAATGATTGTATCCAGTAGCCTGGGAGCGTTCTCAGGGCCAGGGGACTGGGACTCCATGGCTAATCCACTCAACATCACCTAGAACTGGCTCTGTGGTCTTCAGCAGGCCCCCCTACTTCTCTGGGCCTCAGCAAGCTTTTTTTTGGGGGGGGTGGGGGGGGGTATAGATTGGTAAACCCATATGGTCCCATCAAGATGGGCAGATCTGCTGCTTTTGCACCAGGCTTATGGGCCCCACTCAGGTCACTGTGGCACCCCTCCCAGCGGCCAGTGCTGGGTGCCTGTCCTATTTTCAAAGTTTTGTAGGTGAAGAGCACCTCACTCTTACTTCACAGGTGCCCCAAAGCACCTCTGAGGGTATAAGGAGGGTACAATGAGGAAGTTCATGAGGAGGCCCCTAGAGGGTCCCTCCAGCTTCGTCACCCCCTGGTCCTTCAGAACATCCTGGGCCTGGGCCTGACCAGCAGTCCCGGCTGTTAGATAGACATGCGCAGAGCAGGGACGATAGGCCAGGTACAGAAACTCAGGGCAGAAAGCTCTGGAGGCCTGGCAAGGGGCAAAACCGGAAAAACAAAAACCTTGTCCCCAGGGTATCCTATCCTCCCCAGCATATCGCTGTCTTATGGTTTAGACCCCCTGACCTTTTTCTCCAAAAAGATAACATCTAGGCCTCAGTTATATTTCAGCTCCAGGCCCAGAAAAGCAGCAAAACTAGACAAGTGACACCTTGGCTGCCTCAGGACCAGCTGCATTGGCTAATGACCTGGAGACCATGACCCTGAAGGAGCACAGCTGGCAAGCTGATGAATATTCTTTGGAGACCCTCCCCTGAGACCTGCCCTAAGATGGTTTCCAGCAGAGAGAAAGAGAAAGAGAGAGAAAGAGAGAGAGAGAGAGAGAGAGAGAGAGAGAGAGAGAGAGATATGCTCAGGACAAAGGACCCAAGATGCATACCCGTGCCATTCCCTTCCCCCTCGCCTTCCCCAACAGGGACATATCTCCTAACCTCTAAGGCAGTGGTCACCAACCTTTCGAACCTCACAGACCACCAGAGGTCTGCGGACCACCGGTTGGCGACCCCTGCTGTAAGGGACCCCATGACACAACCGGGAGAGCAATGGGCAGCGGCAGCTCCTCCCGGGGTCACCCCCTGAGCCTGTCTCCAAGGCCCCCTTTTCCCTGACTTCTCAGTGAGCCAGAGCAGCCCCGCCGAGGCTTCCTGTGGCTTCTTCTATGCCCTTCCTGGTTTCACTGTCCTATGTGTATTTTCGCTGCCATCATGGACCCAGTACCCTTTGGCTCAGTGCTGTGGAGCCCTTCTCTTTGGATATCTCCATCACTCCCCCCCCACCCCCGTCCTCTTTTCCTTAAATAAATTCATTTTTTCTTTATCCTCCATCTGAGAGGGCTTATTTAGCCTGCCCGGGCCTCACCAACTTTAACCTTTCACTGGCAATCATCAGCAGTTTTAGCTGATTACGGCTTGGTCTTTTTGTGAAACTTTTAGCAAATGACAAGATACACATTACACAAACCTTATAAATTCCAGGGCTAGATCAAGGCAAAGTTATAAACCACATAAAAGATTACTCTAGGCTAGACTGCCTGCTAGGCTCCATATGCAGGCTAGGTTAGGGGCAGTTCCTCCGGCCACACCCGCAGGGACGGGGGCAGAGGCTTTGAGAAATGCTGATGGTGAGGCCCTGGTGGGAGTGAAGTTGGTTCTGCCATTTCAGGAAGCTGTGTTAAACAACCACAAAGAAAACCTAACTTCCGTGGCTGAATGCCTTTTTTTTTTTTTCCTGAACAGGTTTTATCACACACACAGGGGATGGGGCTCAGTCCTTCTTGGCTACTGTCTTCCTCGTGGCTGCGAGGACATTGCTCAGCTCCTCTCTCTTCCTATTGGCGTGGATGTGTGTCCCCACCCTTTTCTTGATAAATTGCAGGGCCCCCTTGTCCTTAGAGACCTTGAGCAGCTCTACGGTGCACTGCTCACAGGGGGCAGAGCCACACACCTCTTAGATCGTGTCCTGCAGGAACCTGGTGTGCGTGGTGAGGTGCGTGGTGAGGCGCCTGCGGCAGCCGCTCACGTTTTTGGTCACTTTGTGGCCCTTGTGGAGACCCACGGCCATGGGGGAGCGCAGAGCCATGACAGAGGCCTTGGGGTCAATGGCGGTGGATTCCCCCCGGACCAACTAACCTGCTGAACGCCTTTTTGAGAAGAAAGGGGGTATTGGGCCATATTGTAGCCAGAGAAGGGCCAGGTCCTGAGCATGAGGTCTGAACCGCCAACAGCATGATTCGGGCGGGAAGGCAACGTGCCCCCCATCCTGGAATCCACGAGCGTTTTTCTATATTTTGTTTGGGGGAAGAAAGATGCAGTTTGTTTGGACAGAATTTACATTGGCTACAGAAGGGGGCTGAGATAAGGTGAAGCAGGGACAGTTCTGTGATAGGAGCACCTTCTGGGGAAGGAAGAAATATTCGCTTCTTTTGATTGGTTTCGGGCAACAGTCCAGAACGTTCGTTTGTTTATATGCAGGATGCGGTGATGTCTGGGGTCAGCTGGTCGATGCCCGGAGGTTGACTCAAAGCTCCAAAAACATTCAGGAATGTCAGCAGTCTTTTGTCAGTTGGCCCACAGCTATTAATTGGTTAATTAATTCACCACTACTAGTATAATAATTCACTGGTTAATTATTCCTGTCTCTTTTGCTCACTCTCCTGCCTGCTGTAATTTAATTTGGAACATCTCAGCATTGTTCTTTTGTCAGCTGTTTAGCGATAGGTATTAGCAACTTCAAAAATATTTATGCCCTATGACCCGGCACTTTCACAGACGCAAATCCTTCTTAAGGAAATCTCCAAGTGCAGATAAAGCCTTGCGCAAAGCACAAGTGGAAAATGGTTATCTAGTGGAAGAGAACAATGAAATTAAAGCACCCTGACATGGCGAAATATGACACAGCTGATAAACACTTTATTTATAAAAGGTCTGTAAAAACATGGAGAAATGCTTATCTGCAATAATAGTGAAGTGGGAAAAGCAGGATATGAAGTTATATATGCAAAATGATTTGTAAAAGAACACCAGCAAATGATGCGGAGAAAAAAGACTGAAAGGAAATACAACGAAATGCAGTGATGAGGGTCTCTGGGTATACGGGGCAAGCTATCCCCTCTCCACCCCCTACCCCCTGCCCCCAATTTCACTGTAAAAAAAAAAAAAGAAGAAAGAAAAGTAATAGTAGCTCAGGGGCCAGACCCAGGGTCACCTTGAGGTTCCCCATAGGTTCCTGCCCTAAACCCTCCCTCTTCCCTTTTAGAGACCCACCAGCACCAGTGGCATCCTGCCCCTCACCCCAGCCCCTCACCAGCACCCACAGGCAATTAACTCTTTCTCGACAAGGAAGGAGCCAAGCTTTTCTCCATCCTTCCTCCAAAGCCTGGAATGAATGCCTGGCTGAGTGGGGACATCAGAGAGGCGACTCCCTGCCTCGCAGTGTGTACCTGCCCTGGGCTGACCTCAGGCAGGAAAGCCTCCCTCTGGGTCATGGTTCATGGGCAGAGCATCCCTATCGGGGCGGGTGGAAGACCCCACATCCCAAACGTAAGTACTGAGCGTTCAGGGTGCCCAGGGTTCTCCACCTGAGATCGCCAGGTACTTGTTAGAAATCCCGAGTCCTGGGCCCAGCCCCAGGGCCGGCTTGGAAGGATGGGATGGAGCCCAGGAATCACCTTTTTAAGCAGCTTCCTGAGGCCTGGGATGCCGTGGTTCACAGCTGCACGTGGAGAAATCAGAACTGGTCTAACCCGCAACATGCCCCCTCCTCCCTCCAGCTTATGCAGGAGCGAGTGGTGCTGAGTCTGAGGACGGAGGGAAGGGAGGAGCCGGTGGGGTCTGGAGGGGGCGGAGGGAAGCCTGCTGCTGGGTCCAGGCCCAGGGGACTGCCTGCAGCAGGTACACACAGACCAGGTCTTCTGAGCCCTGCCTGGCCCTGGCGAGGGCCCGGGGATGTGACCGTGCTGGGGAGGTCCTGTCCCCGCTGGAACTGCGGGGCCCCGCGGCAGGCTGGCACAGGCATCCAGCCAGGCTGGGGCAGCAGGAGAGCCCGGGAGCCTGCAGAGGCCTGGCGCCTGGCGGGGGAACTCTGAGGCCATGGCCCAAAGCTTATTGCAATTCGCGTAAATCCAGCCACTCCAGGTCACGGTTGCAGCAGGCCTGCCCCGGAGGGCGTCCAGTGGCTAGACTGGGATGAACACGGAGGATCTGAGCTCCTCCTCGGACATGTGAAGGGGAGGCCCTGGGTTCGCCTCACCCGCTGGGTCCTGGATGGAGGCCTCCTCTTCCTTCAAAGTCTGCAAAGACAGCGGTGGGGTTGGAAGCAGAGCG